CGGCCTTGGGGCCCCCGCTGGGGGGGTGCCGCAGGAGCCGGGGCCCCGCCACTGTCCACACCAGCCCCCTCCCGCCCTGTAGGCACACGTGCAGCCCCTCAGCCTCCTGCCCGCTCATGCACCCCCCAGGCGTGACCCCCCACACCGTGTCCTGCTCCCCCACGTTGCCCTGAGCCCATTGCACGGCCCTCACGCCACAGCTCCACCAGCTCAAGCAACACCACCTGTGTTTTCCTTCCCTCCATTCCTCACACCACCTCTGCCCCCAGGGCCAGAGCCCCCCCCAGCGCCTGCTCAGCAAACGCTTTTCCATGCAGTCACCCCCTTCCCTCCCTCCCGCCATCGCCTCCGGGGAGCCATCGGAGGAGAGGCCCAGGCAGAGGAAAATGAATGGGGCTGTCTTCAGAAAGCAGCTGCAAATTCCTGGGGGATGCCCAGCCCGACCCGGCGCAGGGTCACTGCCCATGGGCGCCAGGCGCTGAGGCCCGGCTTCCTCCGTGTGTTGCCGCAAAGCCGAGGGCTGCCCTCGGCGGTGGTGCCGGTGGAAAGCCACGGGGCAATGAGCCCCCCTTGTCCCACAGCGTCCCTGGGACACAGGTGCCCAGCACTCCTCTTGTCCCCGGCCGCAGGGGGTATGCTGGAACAGGTGGAGTCCCTTTGCTGCACCTCTCACCTATTTTTTTTGCTTTGTTTTAAAATATCCCATCTACCCAGGTCAGGCTCGCTGCTGCGCTTGCCGCGCTGACTCCCCGTGCACGCAGCTGAATGCTGGGAGTCGCACGGCTTTCGCCACCTCTGCCCGCCGGCTTTGCCCCAGCCCTGCACTTCAGCTGCCCCGTGAGCTCCACCAAGGGCTCTCAACTTTCCGAGCCTTTTGCTGTTGCAGGAGCAGCCCACAGCACCATGTTTGTGTCCCCGGTGGATTTACCTGGCCTGACCAGAGCCCAGCACGGCCATACCTCTTTCATATAGCTCCTCCACCCAGGAGAGGCGCTGGAGCAGGGCTTCTGGCATGGTGGCAAATTTGCCACCTGCAAGCAAGCAGAGAAAATACCTTTCTCTTCCTTGCAGCTCCTAGCCGTACAAAGGCTTAGGGCCTGGCTTGGAAAATCAGGAATACCCCTGCTGCACCCATTCAAGCCAAGCCATCCCGATTCCAACCCATAATGGGCTTGGGGCCATATGGGGCTGCTCTGTGCAGCACACCGAACCAGCAGTGCTCAGCAGGTATCTATCTGCACCGATGTGACATGGGCGGCCGAGGCTGAGTGTGGGATCACGGGGCACCAGGTCAGCTCTAACTGGACTCAAAAGTGCCCAAGTAACAGCTGAAGTGCTGCTCTTTTTGTTGCTGTAAGAAATCTTCCCCCTTCTGCAAATCCCTCCTCCCTCCCTCCCTCCTCTATACAAGAGGTATTTTATCTCTGCTGGAGGAATTAAACGCCAGTTTCAACCAGCCCTCTGAGCCAGGGAGAGCAGAGATGGACTCGGCATTGCTGTGCCACAGGGAGAGGGAGGTATCGGTCCCAAGGCTATGCTGGGGCTGCCAGCACTGCAGCGATGGTTATCTGTTTGCTGACTGTCAGCAAAGCACAGGGAGGCCCTGAGACAGGGCATGCACACCCTAGGGCACTCGAGGGTGTTTCCTCCAAAGGAGGTGGAGAGAAAGGAGTGGGACTAGCCTAAAAGTTACCTATACCCTCAAAACCTAGCAAGACACTTTTTCCAATGACTCCAGGTCCTCTTCCAAAATAAAACTAAACCTTGAAAATATTTCCACACCCACCCCTGCTGCTTACCTTCATGTTCTAGTTTCACTCTCCTCCTGGACCCCCAAAATAATTTTTGGATGGGGCTAAGACTTTCAGAAGGTTTTCTTTCAACCCAGCAGGTGACCTGGGAAAGATGTATCAACTGCAATGTCGACCTGCCAAAGGCTTCCCTCTCCACCCCCAGGACTATGGTCACCACCAAACCAGCTCAGAGCAAGGCCCTGTAGAGGAGGTCTGGAGCAGGAGTGAGAGCCTGTGGCACATCTGCTACCGTAGCTTTCAAACAGTCCCACCACGAATCGGTGCCCCCTGTTATTTCGGACCACTGCAAAGCCACTGTTGCAAGCTCACAAACACGAAACTGGTTGTCTGAACCCCTCCAGAAGGTTTCCCTCCTACACCTTCAGCCCCACGTCTTTCCTGGGCTGCTCTCTCTCTCTTCACTCATTGACTGCCAAGTCTTCCGCACCTGGGGGCTCTCCATCACCCGAGGCTGTCCGGGTGTGTGGGACATGGCCTCTGCCATCCCCAGGTCCCCTTGAGGACAGGGGACTCACGCAGCACACCACAGGGGTGCCCCATGATGGTTTAGCTGTTTGTTCAACCAACCTCTGGCTCCCGTTTTGTGAGCTCCACTGAACGGTGCTCTTGACCATCCCTCAGCAGTAGCGCCTTTACCACGGCAGGGACTGCAGCAATGGGCAAGTCCCCCTCTTCTGCATCCCCATCCCCAGTTGCAATCCAGTAGCTGGAGGTAACATGGCTCCTGGAGGGGGCTGAGGAACTAGTCAGTTGTGGCTTTGGTTTGCCCTGAGGGACACAGTGGGACCTTCTGGTGCCCTAGGACATGTCTCCTGCCCACCACTGATGCTAGACCAAAACAGATAGGTCAAACAGCCATCCTTTGTTCTAGGAGACCGAGCTGGTGGCAGTGGGTTGGGGTGAGGGGAAAAAAAGGAAAGGGGATCAGCCTAAGGAGGAACCAGTCAGGCTGAGGAGCTGTGCACACCCTGCTCTCCTAAATGCAAACCATGCCCTTGGTAATCCCATTCGCCTCTCCCCTCTCCTTCCTTCTATCAGGCCACCAGCGCACACAGCCCCCTTTCTGCTCTGGAATGTGTTCTCCGAAACTTAATCTCAGCACGGGGCTCAGGCCAAATCCCCTAACAGATTCGGCCCCGTGACAACCCCCTCCCACCCTGCTTCAGAGCTCCGCAACTCTCCCCTTGCTTTCCCTCGCCTCCTCCTCCCACCCAGCCTGGCCTAAACATTTCACTCCTGATTAATGTATCAGTGTCAGGCCAATAACTCTTGGCTTTAAAGCAAAGCCAGCCCCCACTTTGCACAAACATCTTCACTTCTTCATTTTCTTAAAATTCAGCCCCAAACTCCCCCTTGCTGGAAAGACGAAGCCCTTTCCATGCCTGAGGGCTGTCACTGCCAGGGAATGGTGGTCTCCACGCACTTGCGTCACCAAAAACTGCACGAGTCTCCGAGAAGATCAGACTCTCCACTGCCTAAACAAGGGTGGTCCACGCAGAGCCCCCCCATCTCCAAGCAGGCATGGGCTGCCCTTTCTCAGATGCATCCAAAGACAGCACTTTCTCACATTTGAGCACAGCATCTGGCCAAAACTGGGCGCCTGGAAGAGAAGTTCCCCACTCTAAGACACCCCCTCTCCTGCACACAGGTCTCCTTGCCGATGCCAGAGGGCAGCAGTGAGGAGATCTGAGCAGGAAGCTCAGAGATTGGAGCAAGGTCCCTCGCTCAGAGCTGTGGCTCAGAAACAAAGTGGCTCTTTGCTGCCATGCCAGTGCAACCTCCTAGGAAGAGGACAAAGCCTTGGAAGGCAGGAGCACATCCCCCCGGGATGAAAGCAGTGTGAATGAATACAGCCTCCTGCCCCTTAAAGACAAAAACCTCGTTAGGAGTCCTTTCAGATACTCTGCTCTCCTGCATCTGCCTCCTGCCGACTTCTGCGCCTGCCTTACCGAACGAGGAACACACAGCCTCTACCTCCAACATCTCCGTGCAACCACCATCCCTCTCCCTCACCTTGCCTTTTGGCAGGGGATCTTCCCAATGGCACACAGAGGACCGCCAGGCACTTAATGCAGATGCCCAGGAGCACCTCCTCGCCACAGCCAGACTAACCTTCCCTTACTGAGAGTGTGGGGGCTGGTCCTTTGGCTATGAAGAACCCGGGGGCAACACAAAAAAGTGCAGGTGCTGTCACAGCACAAGCAAGGCAAGAAACTTCACTTTCCGTGGGTCAGGATGGCAGTATAACAGCACACACCGACCCAGCGCTGGTAACAGCCCTGCAGCAGCCCAGGCAGCAGTCTGGTCATCAGCACCAGCAGGTACTTTTTGGTAACCTCGATCAAGAAGTCAGCAACCGGATGAAGCAGCACAACAGTCAGGAAACCAACCACGCACACAAACCCCATTGCTCAAGTATTTCCTGCTTTTTGCAAAAACCATCACTGCAGGACAGGTCTGCAGCCCGCCACATGGGAGGACTGCTTGGGTCATGGCTGGGCCACAACATGACAGCCAGTCCACCATCAAAAATGCTACATGGCCTAAGCCAAAGGAGTCCTCCCTTGATGCCAGCATGAACAAGTGAGCATGGATGAGCCTCTCAAGATGCGTGAGTGACGGCCCGAGCAATGCAGGGGGTGGCAGAGGACTACTCACTAGCCAACGTGACCACTGCAGGGACACTGGCAATGACTCCTTCGGGCACACGAGCGATGCACTGATATCGCCCCACGGTGCGGTTGTTGAGAGCCGTGATGACGAGTCTCCCTCGCTCGATGTGGATACCCAGCACCTCGTCCGATCCAGCCAGCTCCTTCCCGTTCAGTCTCCAGGTGAGGTTCACTCTGGGGGGGTCCACTACACACCCCAGGCTGACTGGGCCCCCAAGTTTTTGGACAACGGAGGCAGGTTGCACGGTGACCTGCAGAGATTCACCTGCATAGAGGGAAACAGAAGGAAATAAGAAAGCTCTGTGAGACTCAGCAAAAGAAAGGACAGAGGGAAAAACTGTAATGCTGGTACATTTTGCATTCCCTGTCGCTTCCGCTTGTGTGGATGTCCCCTTAGCTAAGTCCCCATAGCCACACAGCCATCCTAGTGCTGGGAGATGCACACTGGCCCCGTTTCTTCTTACCACCACTAGTCAGAGATATTCAACTCTGACCGTATCCCCTTCTCCTCTGGAGGAGTGTTTGAACCCAGACCTTTGGTCGAGGCTACTGAGGAAGGAGCAGAGAGAGAAAACCACTTTGTGCTTGAGGCAGGGATATGCTAACCAGCCCCGAGGCAAAATACAAACGAAATGGAACAAACGGTTAAGAACAGAAACTCACTCAGTTTGGCAAAGCAGCTAGCGGCTGCGAGGATGAGGCAAGGGATGGGGGACATGGGTCTCTTCTTTCCACGTGTCATTGCCATGCCATGCAGCGTGTCCTGGGGCAGAGGCGCCCAGGGAAGGGTCCCATAAGCTGCAGCGGAGGTGTGGCAGCGGATTCCTGTGGATGACAAGAGACATGACGGATGAAACCCTCAGACTTTCCTCTGCTTTCCAGCCCTGTCTGGCTTCTCTACCAACATCCCTAAACTCCCAGGGATTCACTGAGCCGGTGGCCAGAGCAGGCTACAGATGCTGATGCAGGCACTTCTCTTCTCCAGCCTCTTCCCCAAGCATGGTCATGCATCTCCCAAGACATCCCATCCTCAGCCCTCCGTACAAATCTACATGTTTGCATGCAGACACGTACTCGCTCTCCTTCCCCATTTCAGATTCGGCGCAGTGAATGCCTGTACCGTGCCAGCAACGCACACCAGGCGTTTTTCAGGAGCAAAACATCGTTTCCAGTAAAGTGTCACTGGAGATATGTGCTCAGTGTTGCTGCCACTTCTTGGCTGTGTCTGGAATATATTCTAGCTTGAACACAAAAGTAAATGAGGAGTACAAGTCCTGAGCTTCACGAAAACAGAGGTGATCCTGCAGTTCCACAATCTCTCCCTGAGACACTGGCCAGGTGCTACTGGGCATACCTATGTTTCAATCCAGACAGGACTCCTTAG